AGAGAGGTGGTATGGTTAGGGGTTAATGAGACTGTACCAATGTTTAGGACCGAAAGGTGGTGGGTGAGGGATTGTGGTGGGTACTCTACCTCTACTCTATGGGTGTACTCGCACTATACTATCCAAACCATGCCCAGGGGGTCCGTTCTTCGTACGTGGATTACTCAATTAGCTGGATTTGGTTATTGACGATTTGACATGATCCAGGATCGTTTCGTTCTTCAAAGCTGATCTGAGAGTTGCTGTCATAGCAACAGTTCTGCTAGCTCAAACCTGGTCAGGAGCAGGTTTAATTCATATAAACAGGATTAGATCGGCTCAGTTCAAGCAAGGATGATACAGAAAGTATGTACCGAATTTTGATATTTTCTTACAGTAGTAGTTATATACACTTGGGAAAATACTCAATTTTTTAAAACTATATAAAGTTATAGTTAATAATAAAATAAATGAAGTAATATAAAAATTAATCTTATGTTATCTGCACCCCCGAAATGAAAGTACAAAGACTGCCACCTGGTGGTGCAAAGAGAAAAGTTATTGATATGAACCTTTTAGATCGCTTTAGTACAATTTGGTTATGATAATAGAAATGCACAGTATGTGACTTTTCAAAAGCAATAATACATTTATGCAGTCATAAACATGTTTGGACAGTTAAAATGACGGTGATTTGATGCTTCATAAAAGTTGCAGACGCCTTTACCAATATCAAAATGCTTTTGTAAACATCCAGTTATTCTTTAACCCTATTAAAAAAACGGCTACTATAATAATACTATGGGTACTATAATACGTAAAATCAGCTCTAACTGTAAAACTAAATGAACTGCTCTTGACACATGAAAGGGCCAATCATGCAGACCACAACAAGGTGAAAAGTTATCGCGTGTCATATTAAACAATGTGTTTCCAATGAATTTGATGTAATTTAGCTCACATGGATAATTGAATATTAATCAGATGATGTCATTACGCTGCTGTGCCGTCAGCCAATCGCTGCATTGCTGATCATGATTGCGAGGATCGATAGATCCGTCCTTCACAACACACACAGGGATCTCAGATCAGTTCATCCAGACATTTTAATCCGATTCGCGAACTTGTTTGAAGAACCAAATTAGCCAGAGATCAGTTATCAAGATTAAAATCATCTTAGAAAATTTTTATACTTTGCCAAATCATCTTAGATAATTTACGTCAGCTACGGAGAACAGACCCCAGGCGTGTTTCCCAGATCGTTTGAGAAGTGTGAGTGCTCTGAATCAGGCTCGTTAGCCGTTCAGTTGGCTGGCCCTGGCCCGGTTGGAAGAGGTTCACTTGGGCTTTGGCGTGGTACGCTTGTAGTGTGAGTGCAAAGCCCAATACTGAATACGAGACGTGACTTTTAAGGGACTGTTTCATATGGATTTATTAATCATTCTTAATTTTCAACGAAAGCAAACTGTCATTGTTTATTACAGACACAAACCCCTCGCTGCATGTCGGCTGCACCTTCAGCAAACCTCTTAATACGTACGTTCAGCACGAGGGCTTTAATGATCATTTAAGAGCGTTTTATTCATCTACAGTATGTAAACACAAGAAAACAACATAAGCATTAAACCAAACACTGTAAACAGCTCATTCACAGCCACTAGACATTCCTGACAGGGTATTTGAGTGTCAGAATGCTGTGAAACTTCTATATAGGAGATATTATTGTTGATTATAAATCGCGAAATTTTAAAATACTAATTTGTGCGTCTCCTGACTTCCAGCTGCAGCTTGTGGCTGGTGTATTCTATGAAATTTTCTTACCCCTTGGTTTCGAGTGTGGTCCTGAAAAATCTCTCTTTTGAGGGCTATCTAGCCCATCCCTTTAGCCCTACGCCTTTGAGCTAAAGAGAATAGGACACCCCAACCCCCTTCATGTGAACGCGCAAAACAAGGGTTAGGGGTAAAAGGTAGAATTGGGATTTGGCCTAAATGTGCAGAGGCTTTGGAAGCCCAGATACTAGGGATGTAACGGTATCAGAATTTCACGGTACGGTAATACCTCGGTATGAATGTCACGGTACGGTATTTATTGAATCATTTACAGGAAAAAACAAAACTTATGAAAATACTCCAAAAAAGTGCCAAAAGTGTCAATGACATACAAATTAGCCATCTATCTGTAAGCTTTGAAACAGGAACTTCAATTTTAATAACAAAAAAATATTAAACCATGTAAAAAAATAAAGTTTCAATTTAGTATTGTTGAAAACTCATCACATTCAACATTTAATCAATCACTCACTTAGATAAAGATGGGTTTAAAGGAAAATTATCATATAACTATAATCTGGTAAAAGCTGGTATCTCTGGGTATTTACAATGTCCCCTGCAACAGAAAAAAAACCCTCTCATTTGGGACTGAGGTTTCTGGGACAAGAGAGATATGACTTGGCCCAGGTTGACAGCAGTGGGTAACCTTGTGCATTGTTTTTCCCCCACTTGAGAGGACAAACCATAAGTGAGATAGAGGTCTCATGTCTGCATCAATCTGAACAGTGTGCTGACAACATCGCTATTCAGTACGCGCGCGACAACACAGTTGATAAGAACTTGCGCGACAACACAGCTGATAAGAACTCACGCGACAACACAGCTGATAAGAACTCACGCGACAACACAGCTGATAAGAACTCACGCGACAACACCGCTATTCAGTATGTGCGCGGCGACAACACCCGCTTTAGAGTTTTCCAGCTCTTTTTGATCCCCGCTTCTAGCAGCACACTCCATTTCCGCATTACTGGATCTGTAGCGACAACAGACCGCAAGGGATGATGGTCAAGCATGGGCTGATGGGAATTGTAGTTTTCGCTACCTCCTGTTCGCTTCATTCGCCTGAGCAAATTTTCTCAGAAGACCTATAGTTTTACCGAGTCATGCGACTAAGGTAATATCGGAAAAAATTATATTGCGGTATGACGGTATTTACAATACCGTTAAATCCCTACCAGATACCTTACACCAGGGGTCCCAAACTCAAATTGGCGAGGGGCTATATCAGTGACTGGCAATTCACAGGTGAGCCGTTTTAACATTCAAGCACAACAAAAATGTGGAAACCTAATGTAATAGAAGGATTGTATATGTTGTATAATCAAATGACCTTTAATAGAGCTTTAGTAAAAGTAGACCACTTACGCGCATATATTTTAACATTTAAATCAGCCCCAGAAATAATCTGCATGTGCGTTACTCTCGACAGCAGACTGAAACCAAAAGTAACTGGTGGGACTTATAGTACAGTACTTTAAATGTCCAGTAAGTGGGGGGTCAAGACCACAAGTGGCTATATGCAACTGCACAAGAATGATAGTGATTCACAAATAGATGTTTTGAGGGGCAAAATCTTTATATATTTTTGACGTCAGTTGCGGGCCGGTGGGAGGAAGACCCTGTTTGAGACCCCTGCTCAAGACAGTTCTGGAGGTAATTAAAATATAATGATAGTAATACTGAACCACTGTGGTGACAGACTTTGGCTGAGGGATTTTATAAGGAGGAAAACAACATTTGAGATGTTTTATAATCTGCTTGCTTTGCTGAGTTGTCCATTAAAGCTGTCCGATCACACACATTTTTATCATCACATGAGCTGTTAAAACAAAGTCACATGACCTTTGATGCAAATGCTAGATTTATTGTGTTTTCATTGTAGTTTAAGCTTTCATTTGTAGTTTAAGCTCATTTTCTTTTATCTGATAAAAAGTTTATGCTACTTTTAAGGTTTTATAATTTTAATGCAATGTTTTTAATGCGATCCAAAATGCACTGAAAAGCAACTAGCTGCATTGGCTGCTTGAGGGTTGTAGCTTTAGACAGATGTCAGGTTGGTCAAGATTACTCGTGTTCTTTTTGGTGTAATCTATTCATAAACACTGACATGTGGAAAAACAGCACCCCAGTGCGTCCACGTCCTGGTTATTAAAAAAAAGTTGAATGGATTTTTCTTTTTTTTGTACATTTAGTGTATTATTTAATAAACGGATTCTTTCACTGTTATTATTATTATTATTATTATTTTTTAAATGATTGTTTGTACTTGGTTGTGTTGTTTGGTTGTATCATATATAGGGGTGTGGTAGATATGGAAGATTGGGGTGGGATAAAAAAAAAACAGAATGTTGTTTCTTCTGTATATACAGTTGCAATCAGAATTATTAAATTTAGAGTAACCATTATCCTTATCGTTGTAGATATGTTTGATTGAGTGCCATTGTGTAATTAATAATTAAATTAAATTATTTTCACAGCATGTCTGATATAATTTTTACTTCATGGAGAAAGTCTTATTTGTTTTATTTCGGCTAAAATACAAGCAGTTTTTCATTTTTTAAACACCATTTTAAAGTCAAAATTATTAGTCCCTTTAAGCTATTTTTAAAGGTATTTTTTATACAATAACTTGCCTAATTACCTTAACCTGCCTAGTTAACCTAATTAACCTAGTTGAGCCTTTAAATGTCACTTTAAGCTGTATAGAAGTGTCTTGATAAATATCTAGTCAAATTATTTACTGTCATCATGACAAAGATAAAATAAATCAGTTATTAGAGATGACTTATTAAAACTAATATATTTAGAAATGTGTTGATAAAATCTTCTCTCAGTTAAACAGATATATGATAATAATAATATAATAATAAATATAATAATAGCTAATAATTCAGGGGATTTAATAATTCTGATTGCAACTGTATGTGATGTTGTATCTGCACAAAATGCTAATAAATATAATTGGGGAAAAAGCATTGAACATTTTTAGAAATAGAAAGCTGATACAAATAAATTTAAGCAAAATATTGCCAAAATAATGTACAAACTTACAAAGTGTAATATATATTTTCCTCTTTAGCATTTTTGTTTAATATTTGGCCTATTATGTAAATTTGAGCTATAAATTTTTTGGATTATTTATTATTTGGGTTATTTATTTATTTTTGTTAGATAAGCTCCAGATTTGGCTTCAGTATTGACTAATCTAATGCATATGCACAAAATACTATTATAAAGCATCCTATGAAAAATATTAATGTAATAGATTTGACTGGGGTGTACTCATTCATCCTGAGCACTGTATATAATAAAAATAAAACGAGAAATTAAATATAATTAGAAAAAAAAAGTTGGATGGAAACATGGCGTTTCTGCTTCATCGAAAGGCATCAGGCTTTTTTTCTTCATAAACTTGTGTTCTGAAGTGTCAGCGTGAGTCTCCGTCGACTGATTTCCCCTTGTGTGTTTGTTCACACTGCATCTCCGTCCTCACACAGCGAGAGTTGATGGATTTTAATGACGGGGAGTGAGTTTTGCGCAGGCGGCTCCGGCTGCGGTGAATCCGCTCTCACGCAGCAGCACGTCCTCAGCAGGTTTTTACCGCACATGCCCGCCATTTTGGCTCCAACACTCACCCCCGTGCTGACTCCAGTCGTCCCCACAGAAGAGGTGCGAGAGGGGGCTTGCCAATCCCGGCCATCCCTTGAGGAAGGGCTGCGGGACAAAGCAATGGAGGAGGACGGGCTCAAACGTGATGGATTGTCACGACTCGAAAGACCCAGAATCTGAGACTGGCCGTGTCTGGGACTGTGGCTCTGGTAGAGCGTATGGGACGGTGTGGATCTCTTGCGAAGGCATCGCGCGCCCAAAACGCTCAGGAAGGCTTTCTTAAACTCCTGACTGGAGCAGGGGTAGATGATTGGGTTGATGCAGCTGTTAAAGTAACCCAGCCAAAATGTGATCTTGAAGACTGTGTCCGAGGGTCTGTACGTTGGGAAGATGGAACCTAGATATGGGAAAAAAGCAGAAATTAGTAAATACAATATTATTTACAATATAATACAATAAAAGTACAAATTAAATATTATTGATTTAGTTTGCTCACATTGCTAGTTTTGTGGTCAACAATTCATCTGCGCATGTCATTAAGAAAAAAAATAGTTTGCACTTGTAATATTAAGTTAAAATCTAAATACCAAAGGTATGGGGCGTGGCTTACATACTTAGCCACGCCCCTCCAGTTTTGACAACAAACAGAAATGGTGAGGAGGATGAGTCTGTTATGTTGTAATAACTTTCCCCAAACCCTTTTCCTGATCTTTCTGAATGAAATGCTTACTTTACTACATCCAATCAGCTCACAGTACAAAAAACAAGCCACGCCCACTGTTTTCTCATTTAATATTCTGTTTCTGTAGAAACTGCATCACAATTCATAACAAACAACAGTGTTAGAAAATTGTCACTTCATATATTCAAACATTAGATGTGCGCAACACTATATATATATATATATATATATATATATATATATATATATATATATATATATATATATATATATATATATATATATATATATATATATATATATATATATATATATATATATATATATA